AAAATACATAAATAAAAATACATATTTGAAACATAAATCAAACTCAGCATAACCTTTCAAAAGAGACTTATAAAACATAATAATATGTGAAATATAATGATATTTGTAATGTAAATAATAATAAAGATAAAAATAGAATGAAACCAATAATATATAAGTGAAACTCTAGCTATTTCAGCTTTGTTTTCTAAATAAGTATAATTATAAATAATAAATAAAACTAATATAACTCTTATATGTTTTGTATAAAATTATCTTTTATAACTTGTTATATAAAGGTACTAGGTTTAGAATCGAGTACTTTGGGTTCTATATGACCTAGGGTTAGAGCATGAGTTAGCAGTTTGTTATAGCTATTTAGTACTACTGTAGTGAACTTACATACACTAATTTGATTTACAATATATATATAAGAACTTTTCTACTAAATCAAGTATTAACTGAATTAACTATCAAAATCTATACTACTTTATCTAACTCATAATTTCTACTATATAGATCTTCTATTTATAGATTTTATTAAGATTTATTTGTATAATATTACATTTTTTAGATATTATATTATATTTCTAATATCTGAATGATATTAGTACAATATAATTTACAGGATTATAATCCTAGAAATAGACAAAGTTTACTATAAGTTAGATACAAAAATCTAGATAATTATTCAAATTCATTAATAGTGGAATTTGAACTTCAGACCTCTTATATAATAGTTTAGCAATCTAACTACTATACTAAAATTACCAAACCTTGATTTTATTATTATATTTATTAATATAAGCTTCTTTTAGTATTAAAAATTTTTTCAGACTAATCAAGTTTATAAGCTTTAATTATAGTTAGTTAATTAATAAGAAGTTGGTTTTGTTTATAGATTGTTAGTATATAATTTTTTTTGTTATTCTATTTAAGAGTATATATTTTGTTTTTCTAGTTATATATAGTATTAACTTTTTGTAACTAGTTATTTTTAAATAAAATAATTATAAGCAATATTATATATAGATATTATTTTATCAAAATTATATAAATACAAATAATTTTAGATAGTATCTTATATTCTAAATAATATCTTATATCTGTAATAGTTGTTCTATATTATATAGTTTATTAAATAATTTGATTAGCTAATATAGCTATCCTTATTATAATTTTAATTGTCTAAGATAAAAAAATTTAATAGATATGTTTAGAATATTTTGTTACAGACTGTTTGCTATTTGTATTAATATTTTATAATAATACTAATTATAAGTAATAAAGTTTATAACTTCAATATTTAGAAAAACTATAATATTTTTAATTTCTATAAAGAGATCTTTGATTATTTCTAAAACTTGAAGTAAAGATTCTGTTGTAGAAATAATTAGACTAGTAGAGAAGATATTAATTTTTAGTTCTAGCTTTTTAATTATCTTATAAGAGATTATACTAATAGAATTATTATTAATAATAGTTTAATAAAATTAATTTCTAATTTTTATATTACACTTTACTAAAGTAATATAAGTAGCAATTCATAACACTTTCTGATGATCTCTTTTTCTAAAAATTTTGAAAAAGCAAAAAATAAAAATTTATTAAGAAAGATAAAAAAGTTCTTTTATAATATAATAGTTTTTATAGAGGTTAACTAGGCTTGTTTGCAAAAACTCTTTTATATATTTAATATGCAAGCTAAAAGTGATATTATATAAGATAATTAGCAAGTAGAGCTTTTATATAAAAAATTTTAGTAAAAAGACAAAAAAAGTTTTTTGTTAACAAAATTAGTAAAAGAAGACTTAAAAAGATAACAATAAATTATTTTGTCTACATACTCCTTTAAGCCTCAGAAAACAATATACTACTATAAGCTTTTTTCTTCTAATCTTCTATTTTTTTCAACAAAAAGTAAAAAATCTAGATTCTTCTTTACAAAAGATTAGTATTGTTTACTCCTTATATTTTTGAAATATTTTGTAGGTATATAATTTTATATAATAAACAAAGTTATATACTTTGTTTATTATTTAGTTTATAATATAATCTTAATACTATAAGTTCTAAATTCTTAAGATAAATTATATATTAGAAAGAAAATTATTTGAGATAGATTATAAGTTATATAACTTAAAATTTTTAAATCTAACTCAGGTTATAAGGTATTTGATTACTATTTTTTTTCTTTTTGTTTTTTGTTCTATATTAGTTTTTTTTTATCTGTAATAGGTTTTTTCTAGTATAAATTTTGTTATAAACTATAATTACTTAGATCTATACAATTTTTTATCCTTTTTATATTTTAAGACTAGGTACTAACTTCTCTTTACTTAGTTTTGACTAAATAGAAAGAGACTTAAAATCTTGATATATAGCTAGAAGTCACCTTTGTTAATCAAATTCTAGAAGTCTATATATACAGATTAAGATTTTTATGAGAAAATAGCTTCTATAGCAAATCAAATTTGAGCATCTTTGAGGTAGCTGAGTTAGTCTAGAATAGTTTAGAGAGAACAAATTAGTATAGTTTTATATTAGATTGTTTTATAGCTTTTTTTTAAGCTTTTTCTTAATAAAATAATGAGTAAGATCATTCAAGATATAAAAAAAAAAACAAAAAAAAAAAAAATATATATATATATATAAGTAGTAGTTTGATTAAAGTTAAAATTTTGAGAAAGTTTTAAAAAATATTTATTTATTATTATCTGTAATAATTCTTAAAAAAAAACTGATTCAAATTGTTTATAGCTATAATCATTTGAAATATTAGTAATTTAAATATCTTAGAGATAGAGAGTAAATGATCTGACTTTAAATCTATTTTTAAATCTATTTCTAAATTTATCTATCTTTGTTTTTATTATTTTAATTATAGTTTAGTATTAGTTCTTAGATCTATTTTTTTTTTTTTTTTGTTATTAAGGTAGCTTACTTTGTTGAGTAGATTTTATTAGTTGATATATGAAGTTATCTGTTGACAATCCCCTATAGTTTGTAATTACATAAAAAATATATAATTTGCTATATATATAATTTTAGTTATTGTTTAATTTAAGTAGTTTACTATACAGGTAGATTATTTATTTGGTTCTATACAAGTTATTATATCTGTAATCTACTTGTAAGTTATCTATTTAAATACTTTGTTTAACTAACCTATACTAGAATTAACTAATATTATTGTAATATCTAACTACTTAGACTAGCTAGCTTATTACAGATCTATTTATCTAACTTAGCTTAGATTCTTATAGGATATATATTGCTCAACATATTATGAGTATACAAAACTGCACGTCTGAAATGTGTGCCAGGTTATGCATGTTGTCGATCATAGATCATCAACTAACTGACGCTTAACTTGTTACTATTACGAATATCTTTTTTCTATAACGATAATAATAATAAAACATATAATCTCTGATATATGTACCTCAAAGGTGGATAATATATTTTGTAGTCTGGAGCATTCAATTAAACAACTCTATTCTTTTCTTTTGATACATTTTCTTATATTCAACTTTAATAACATAGTAATACACATGAAACTTATCTCGTGAATATAATGTCAGACTTTATTCAAACAATGAATCGGAGCTGTAAGGGCAAATCATATCGATATTGTTAAATTAACTCGCTGAAACAAATATATAATGATGTAATATAACGTGATTATAAATAAAATAAAACAATAACTGTTCAAATAAAAAAACTTTTCTTCTCGTTAGTATCAACTAAAACTTAGAGAGGTGTGTCTTATATGATAGCATAAAGCTGTGGATATCAGTTAGTAAAATAAATGAAAAAACTACAGTTAGCAAAAAGGAGACAAATATAAAACCTAAATTTTAAAGAATAGTGCACTTAAGACAGCTGTTTTCAAGTGAACCACTTCACAGCATAAATTTTTCAAACATTGAGTATTAGTTAAGCTGCAATCTATTAAACAAGTATGAACGCTAATAATAACACAGAAAATACCTTGCACGTTAGTTAATTTTGCATATTTATTTGTTTTCTAAGTTTTTTAAAGTAGTTTCCAATTTTATCTTTTTATTTGTTGTTACTGTTATAATCGATAATAAGGTTTGCAAATTAATTTTAAAGGGTTAATTATTAACCTTAATTAAAATCTTATTTATTTCAATATTTATATTTGTATGTTTGTATATATGTACTAATTTATTGTTATTACGCATGTTCTTTAGGTCTTTTCTTAGGATTTTTTGCCAGAAATTTTAAAACCAGTTCTTCCTAAGAAGTATACTTACATGCTTCAGAATTTTAGAGAACTTCCACTATCCCAAACACATGAAAATTTTGAAATACCGAATTTTAAATTAGATGCATTTATAAATATAGATAATAAAGAAAAGGCAGGCGAATGGTTTTTAGATTTTCAATCTTGGTCAAAAACTACGATAGCACAAACAAAAGGTTTTGAGGTCAAAGGAAAGCGCGTGATTTTTCGTGAATTAAGGCATTGTATCCATAGTGACTTGGTAAAAAAAAAACAGGGTAGTCGTAAAATTAAACATCCACAATCATCAAGAGTACGTAATACAAATTGTACTACAACTATCCATCTTCATTTAGAACGTCAACATATTAATTCAAGTCATCCATTAGAAATTAATTTAAACTTTTCTCATAATCACGTTATCAATTCTGCAACATCATTAAGTTTTCGACATGTTGATGAAAGGATTTGTGAAGAATTTATCAATTTATTTAAAGATGGTCACTCTTCGGCTTCAGCGCTATATGTCTATGAAGATAAGCTTTATCTCAATTCAACTAATGAACAAGAACTATTGGAGGTTTTGGCAGACTGAGCTTATAACCCAGGTTATGACTATGTTGCAAAACTTTTTCAGAAATATCGTGAGGTAGCACTTGGTTGTTGTAATGGCAAACCTATGTTTGAACGCTTATCAACTATAATTGAGGATTATAATACTTCAGGTCTTGGTAAAGCAGTTATGCAGGAATATGATGCAAATTCCAAAAATGCTTTTATTTTATGTATCGTAACAAATTTAATGGCTCGAGTACATGAAAAAATTATTCAGGCTGGAGAAATTTGTTATGTAGATGCATCAGCATCCTTTGATTCCCTTAATACATCCGTTACTCTGCTATATACTAGCTGTGCTGCTGGTGCCCTCCCACTTGGATTATTTCTTACATCTGATGAGACTGAAACTACATTAATAAATGCAGTAGCTATTGATTTTTTTTTTTAAGCTTGTTACTTATAATTTAAAATTTTCTAAAAAAAAAAAAAAATCTTTTTTTATTTTTTTTTAATTCTCTAGCTAAATTTATTAAAGACAATTCTTCCACAAAATGCTTTCTATGGACGGGGACCGCAAGTAGATCCAATGATTTTTTTAACTGACAATTCAGCAGCAGAACGTAATGCTTTAAGACTTTGTTGGCCAGAAGGTAATTTGACTTTATTTAAAAATTTAGATTAACTAATTCATTAATATTAAAAAAAAATTACAATTTAGGAATTCGACTTTTATGCGTATTTCATTTTCTGCAAGCATTTTAGAGGTGGCTGTATAATTCAAAACATGAGATTTATAAAGATGATCGAGCTTCTATCATGGAAAAAGTAAAAAAAATTCTATACGCAACATCAGAATCTGAGATGAACATGCTCTATAATGAATTTAGACAAAACTTCCACAATTATTCACAATTAATATATCATTTTGAACACTTATGGAAGCAGAGAGAATATTGGGCTTTGTCTTTTCGTATTAACTTACCCATGCGTGGCAACAATACCAACAACTATATTGAAAGAAGTTTTGGTATCATGAAAGATATCATCTTTGCATGGACACAAGCTTATAGCCCTATTCAAATTTTTCAATTTATAACTACAAGTATGAAAAGATTCTATGAAAAACGATTACTTGGAATTGCACACAGGCATCCTGGTCTTCTATGTATTGCAAAACGTTTTTTGTGTCCTGGTTGGGAAATAGTAAATCTGAATGCAATTCAAAAAACGAATATAAAACATGAATTTTTGGTACCTAGTACTAAAGAGAATACTGATCTTTTATATACTGTAAATAGTGAGATCGGTGTTTGCACCTGCAATATCGGAATGTTCGGTGCACCTTGCAAGCATCAGGGTGCAGTTTCAGTAAAATTCCATATATCATCATTTAATTTTATTCCTTCATTGACACTGAATGATCGTATGGCTTATGCATATATAGCTCTCGATAAGTAAAATATTATACATATTTTCAATATAATAAGATTTAGAGCTATTGTTTGGTTTTTGAGAAATTTAATAGAATTGAAAATTTTTATAACTGGGGCTATTTTTTTTTTTTTTTTTAGGCTATATTGCTGAAGATGCATCTTTTTATGCATCATTATCTGCATACCCCTTTTTACAAAGTCAAGACGATTTATATACTGCCACAGAAATATCAACAAGTTCTTTTATTGCTGAATGGAAGTAAGTTATTTTTATTCAATAATTTAATTATAAAATTATACAATTTAATAAAATTATAATTATTTTATAGAGAACCTAATAATCTAGACAATAAGAATGAAGAATATGAAGAAACAAATTCTCTTATTACTGAATGGAAGTAAGTTATTTTATTCAATAATTTAATTATAAAGTTATAAAATTTATTAATTATAATTATTTTATAGAGAATCTAATGACTCAAACGATGAGAAGGAAGAATCAGAAAAAATTAATTATTCGAATTTTTCATCATTTTTAGAAGAAGTCTGGTTAGACTATCAAAATTCTGATCAAGCTTTACAAACTTCACTCGATAAATTCAAAGACCGTTATAATGCAGCAAAGTCTAAATCTATCTCTCGGCTGTCTTCATTCCTTTATGTCCTTAATCATGATGTAGACCCAATGGTTCGAGTCAATAGTAGTGCGCATATACGAGTTCAAGTAGAATCACTTAAATGGCGTAAAGCAAAAGTTGGTACAAAGCAAAAACCAATAGTCTTAAAAAATAAAGAAAATAAGAATTTGGACTCTCAAATTATTCCAGCTCGAAAAAAAAAGGAAAATCAGTAAAAAGAACTATAGTTTAAGTGAAAATATATCTAGCAATCATCTAAATTAGAGAATGGATAGTAATTTTTGAGATTATTTTTTTGTTTAAAGTCATATGAAAGTCATATACTTATTTAAATTATTAAATCAAAAAGACAACTTAGGCGGTTCAACATAATCAATAGAAAAATTTCCAACAGAAGTTTATATTTCAGCTTTAGAAAGCTAAATAAAGAAATCATTACAGGTTATAATTATATTCATAACAGGATTATAAAATTTTGTTGTGACGCATTTTTTAGAGACTTTAAAACAAGTTTTTTACTAGTTAAATAAATGCTTTTATTAAAAAGGTAATTAATTAAATGCACTTAATGCTTTTAGCTAGGTTGAGCCTATTTTGCAAATTGAAAAAAAAACCTGTTATTAGTGCTATATATTAAAAGCCGAGTTGGTGTATATAGTAAAAAAAAAAAAAAAAAAAAAAAAAAAAAAACTTCGAGCATAAATATTTTAAACATACAATAAATTGAAATAGAATTATTATAAGTTAATTACAACTAAGATTTTGAATTTAACAATTAAATTTTTTAAGAACCTTTTAAATATTTATTTAACCTTAGATATTTAAAATGTTATAAGTAGAACATTTAATTTAAAATTTGAATTATTCGATAAATATCTAAAAGTTTATTCGTATATATAGCATAATATTTTGTAATACAAGGAGAATATCTGAAGAGAATGAATCTTAGTCTTCCTAATATATTTTTTACAAGATAGTTTTAAACTGCTGTTCTTTATATTTTTCGAGTTTTTGCTTCATCGAGTTTATCAAAATTCTATAATTTGATTGGTCTAACTACGTGAATGTCAGTTAGTTGATAATCTACGATCGATAACATGCATAATCTGGCACACATTTCAGACGTGCTACAAAACTCTAGTTAATCTTATAAGTATACTTACTAGAGTAGTCTATATTCATTTCATAGATTCATCTAGTTTAGATACTTGTAATATTCATATAATTCTAGTTCTTACTATAACTCTCTATTGATATTGTTTGCTGATTTCTCTAAATATTTCACAAAGTAGATCCTTTCAAATCTAGTTAGCTACTAAGCCAAGTTAGTATTGCTAATTCTCTTTGTAGAATAAACTTACTTGTATCTAACTCAATCTGCATCTTTTAAATAACAGTTTCTATTTAAATTAGATATTAGCTAGTATAACTATTAAAAGTTATACTACTTTACTAACTTAGAGTTTCTACTATACAGATTCTTTGCTTATAGATTCTATTAAGATTTATTTATGCAATGTTATATCGTACTCCTAATATCTGAATAATATTATTGCAATAAGATTTATAGAATTACAACTTCAGAAACAAATAGAGTTTATCACAAGTTAAATATAAAGATTTAGGTAATTATTCAAATTTATCAATAGTAGAATTTGAATTTTAGACCTCTTATATGATAGTTTGATAATCTAATCACTATATTAAGATTACTAAACCTATCTTAGATCTATTTCTTTTATAATTTTGTAAGTAATTATTATTGTAGTAATTATAATCTTAAGATCTGTTTTTTTTTTAATCAAGAATAATTATAAGAGTAATTATTATTATTGTAACTAAATTTTCTATTATTTAATCAATAGTTATTATTACTTCAGAAATTACTATGGAAACTATTTACACATACTCAATCTGCTGATCACCTAAACTAACACAGAACAAAGACTTTATTATATAAAATAATTTATAAAACTTAAGGAAACCCTGTAAAATTTTAGTATTGAATTGAAACATGAGTTGCATAGCTCTAAGGCAATAAGAGGCAGAAAGATCTAGCAGATGACAATATTAAAATTTTAGCCAAAAGTTTACTTTATAGAATATTCAAGTCAAGAAGTAGAGACATGGAAAGAAGTTGAGGAGAAGAAGGAGTTTAAACCAACAGTGTTCTGTACAGAGACAGACACTACACCTCTCATTTACTCTGTGGATAGTTTTTGCAGCAACCCTACTAGATTCTTTAACAATATAAATGAATGCATTTTTTGTAGCTTTTTGCTAAGGAAAAGTAGAGAATTAGCTTACTTTTAATAAAGGATCGATAACAGTACTACATTCTAATTAGGACAGATAATGTATTGGGATAACAATAATAACAAAACAACATATATAATATAAGCTAGTCATGTATCTGTTATGATATGAATATGAAAATAGATTAGAGTTAATTGGAGATAGATAGTATTTGTATTAATACTATTTACAATTTTTAGCACAGACAATATTTCTGCTATGCAGTTATATAGTCAACTTTAGCTTCTCCTGGTTTTACTTTTTCTTATATATGTAGTACATGCTCTAAGGTAATATATTTTTTTCATATAGTATCTTTAATTTTTACTCAGGATTTTCTTTTTTTTCATTTTTGTTTGAATTTTATTTTCACTCTTCTTTATCACTCTTTTATATCTTACCCCATTTCTCTTTTCTTAAAAAATTTTTTTTTCTTTTTTTCCTCTATGAGAAGATATTATCAGATTAGTAGTCTCCAATTGTAGGGTAGTAGAGAAGTCTTGATAGGCACATGGTAGCCTTTTGTAGATTAATAGAGAGTGACTTTGCTTAGGCAAACCTCTCTTTTAGGATGAAAATTTACTATTGCAGCTAATCGTATCTGAGTACCGAATGGCAGCTAAGTGAGTTTAGACTTGATAGTAGAGGATAATTTTAGAACTAGCTTAGTATAGTTTTTATTTTTGTTTTAACATATATATATGTTTTCTCCTAATAAAGAAAAGACAAGATTACCTAAGTAGAAAAAAAAAAAAATTACTATCTAAATAACAAGAATCTTTATAAAATTGATTTCTATTATTATTATTTTTTTAGATATAACAATCTTTTACATAATATCTTTGATTACAACAATAGTAACAAATAGCCTTCTATAAGAATCTATTATTATTATTATTATTGTTAGATTAGTTTTAAAGAAATTTATTATTAGAGTAGTAGATTAGTTTAGAAGTAGAACTATTCTGTTTCTTAATAAATCAATACTAAGCTTAGCAATTTGTTCTGTTAAACTTTTAATTACTTTGTTAATATTATTATAAGTTAGAAAAGCTATCCCTTAGATTGTAGGCCAATGCAGGCATATTTGCCTGCGTTTTTGTATTCATTCAGCTCTGATTTACTTTTTTAAAATGCAAAAATATTAAAAAAATAATTATAAATAATAAAATTTGAAAAT